AATGCAACTTTCAAAACAAGTATATATATATATATATATATATATATATATATATATATTTAAAAAACAAAGTTGCATGATTATTGTAGGAAAAATACTGTACAAATGTACCACTAGACTAACACATTACATGTTTTAGGTTTAAAAGTACTTGTTTTTTTTTTTGGTTTTTTTTGGCCATGTCTTATTTCACATTTCGCACCAAGTAATCCAGAACTGCTGGCACTTCCTAAATAACATACCCAAAATAAAATGGTTCCAGTTCATGAGTCCATCTGAATCCACATATAAGACTCAAATTCCACTTCAGATTTGAAGTGTATTTGCAGTGCCTATTATCCCTAAATCTCTACGATTCCAATTTCAGTATTTTCACAATAGTATCTTTTTAAAAATTTGTAAACAAAAAAACTGGGCCAACACTGGCCTTTTCCTCCCTGTACTTGGCTTGTACTGTATAATGGCAGTTTAATCAAATAGCTGAGCCAGTAAACTGGTGGCTGAAGTGATCAGCTGAAATCTAGATGTCGCATATTTCGGTTTTCACCGTTCACATGAACTCTCCAGCAGGTGTAGTGTTGATCTCAGGTGTCGTGGGTTGTCAGTCTTTGCCCCCTCTGTGGTCACGCCGAAAGAAGGAGAAGAAGCCAGAGCTTTGAGAAGGACCCATCAGCATACGGGCCTGATTCTCATGAACAATTGTAATCTGTCGGAAAGAGTGAAAACAAATGCGATGTGAAAATGTTTACATTGTATGATATAAATTCATAAAGACAACCAGATGAGAAGAGATATGACAGATAAATATGAAATGAACTGGCATAATACACAAATAAAGGCACATAACTTGCCCAAGAGTCTCTCCAAGACATGAACATGTTAAAAAACAGCCAGTGAATGTGAAATGTAAGTGTCATTAAAATCTTGTTTATTAACTCTGTCCCTGTCACATTTAATTGGGTGCTGAATTCCCAATCTGTGGGTCACTTATAATTCCACATCAAAGGTGATGGTAAATATCAAGCTCTTCTCTTTGAATTCACCCATTTGCCTTGTTCATGAAAGTATTCAGACACAGTAATGGCAATAAGAAGGTAAATGGTACTGAACGCCTCAAAATGAAAACCTTTGGAGCATTTAAGTTTAATTAAGAGGAAGAGTCAACATGACATTTTTAACATGGGGTGAAATCGAGAGTGTTCATATATAATGCTAATTTATTGGAATCGTGCCCTTTTTAGTGTCTCTCTGGAACAATTTGGAAGATAAAATTAGGTGCCATAAGGTGAGGATTTTAGCTTATTTTTATGAATAATAAACTTGATGTTTCTCTGTGGAATTATATAAATCTTTATTGCTAAATAATACAATACAAAATAAAAAAAAAATGAAACAAAAATGAAAGAAAAGAAAATGTTAATTTCCTAAAATTTTAATTTTGAAAAATACTGTATTTTGTGATATTATTTGGTAAATAGGGTTTTTTTTTTTTTCAGGCCGTTTTCCATTGATTTCCACACTGATTGCCAGGAATATATAATGAAGAATCATGTAATGCAACTGATTTACACATAAACCGTCACAAGCAAACAGATACAATGCAGCACCACCTAAAAATGGTTTAGCACAATCACTTTTGCTGAGGATAAGCTGGAACACCTGAATATTGACTGCAGTGCCTCAAAAGCATTCCCTACGTTTACTGACACTAATTAAGCCTCAACGAAGCCATAGGTTGCCATGGAGATCACCTGCTACCTGTCTACCTTTAACCAGAGTTTTAATCTACAGGTACAAGTGCTCCTTCCAATTAATTGTGTTGTCATGCTTTTTGGATTCCAGGCATCGGCAAAATGAAGTATATGTAAATGAACACTGCACTTCAGAAAAGATGCTTTCAGAGAAGAGAAACTTTAATTAAAAGCAAACAAAGCTTCGAATCTTGCAAATGATGTGGTTGTTTCGGGCTGGAGCATATTTTCAGCTTTCTTGTAAAATGCTGCTGTGGTTTTTACACATGATATCTAAGACTGACCAACTAAAGCCAGTTTAGAATTAAATGAAAAGTGAGAATATCAAACTCTTAAACATTCATCAAAAGATTAACACACGCAATATCAAGGACTTTTAAGTAAATAACAAAATTAAATGTGCATGTCATACTTACAGTGCAAGGGCTTTGCATCCATGGCTCACCATCAATTTGCATAGGGAGGGCTTTACTGGTTCTGTTAATGGAACATAGTTATTTAATACTGAAACATGAAGATATGTTAAATGAAGTAAAACAAATATTTTATTATTAAACAAATTGTTTTGTTTATATACAGTATATATGTAAACATCTAGATATTAGGTTAAAAAAATAATTGTTTTTCTGCACCATTTTAACTTTTTTTTTCTAGTCCTGAAGTCTTACAATGTGGCAAATGAACTTTGAATGTAGTCAAAGTACTGTACAAATATTCTACAAAGTCCCTCAAAATAATACACTACCAAGTTTGGAGTTGGTACAATATTTAATATTTATTTTTGCTTTGAAAGCAGTCTCTTGTGCTTACCAAGGCTGCATTTATTTGATCAAAAATACAGTAAAATAGTAATATTGTAAGATATAATTACAACTGAAAACAATTGTTTGCTATTTTAATATATTTTAAAATGTAATTTATTCTTGTGATGGCAAAGCTGAAGCCATTTCAGCAGCCATTACTCCAGTCTTCAGTACCACATGATCCTTCAGAAATCATGCTAATATGCTGTTTTGCTGCTCAAACAACATTTCTTATATTTATCAATGTTGAACACAGTTGTAATGCTTAATATTTTTGTGGAAAACATTTTTTCAGGACCATTTATGAATAGACAATTCAAAAGAACTGTTTATTTGAAACAGAAATTATTTTTTTTCCAATTATAAATGTCTTCAAAGGGGTCATATGATGTTGCTAAAAAGAACACTATTTTGTGTATTTGGTGTAATGAAATGTGTTTATGCGGTTTAAGGTTAAAAAAAAACACATTATTTTCCACATACTGTACATTATTGTTTCTCCTCTATGCCCCGCCTTTCTGAAACGCGTCGATTTTTACAAAGCTCATCGGTCAGAAAAGCGAGGAGTGCACTGATTGGCCAGCTATCCAGTGCGTCGTAATTGGCCGAATACCTCAAGCATGTGACGGAAATGTTACGCCCCTTACCATATTGCCATGCCCTGTCCGGCTGGAGCGACGAGACAAAAACATTAAAACCCATTATAAACGAGGCATTTGTTGCATCCAGTGGGGACATAATTACGGATTATAATGACTTATACTGTCTTTTTACGCATTGCGTTGCATCGCGCCGTGTAAACATAAAACCATGTCTGCGTTTGTGATCGGAGAAATGACAAACAACAAGTGCTACTCTACACTGCCCAAAAAACTCGCGTTTGAATAGTCAGTGGCAAATTCTATAAATATAAAAATGTACTTATAGTCTGTGAGTCAGAACAGCCAGCATTGTAGTCTACTCTCCCAGGATCAGGAAACAGTCCTCCATAAAATGCGCTGCACACACCGCAGCCTTGAGTGAGCGGAGGCCTAGAGTGAGCAGAGGCTGGGGGCTAGAGTATGCGGAGGCCGGCTTGAGTGAGCGACGGCCGGCTTGAGTGAGCGGCGGCAGGCGGACTTGAGAACGGCGCGGTCGGCGGATTCGATGAAGGAGCGTCCGGCGGGCTTGCGGCAACCACGTGTGACGACCCCGGGCTGGACTCCGCTTCGTCCACGGTGAAAGCCGGCGAGG